AAAATTTGTATGGAACCAGAAAAGACCTCGAATAGCCAAAGGAATATTGAAAAAGAAAGCCAAAGTTGGTGGCATCACAATTCCGGACTTCAAGCTCTATTACAAAGCTGTCATCATCAAGACAGCATGGTACTGGCACAAAAACAGACACATAGATCAATGGAACAGAATAGAGAGCCCAGAAATAGACCCTCAACTCTATGGTCAACTCATCTTCGACAAAGCAGGAAAGAATGTCCAATGGAAAAAAGACAGCCTCTTCAATAAATGGTGTTGGGAAAATTGGACAGCCACATGCAGAAAAATGAAATTGGACCATTTCCTTATACCACACATGAAAATAGACTCAAAATGGATGAAGGACCTCAATGTAAGAAAGGAATCCATCAAAATCCTTGAGGAGAACACAGGCAGCAACCTCTTTGACCTCAGCCGCAGCAACTTCTTCCTAGGAATATTGCCAAAGGCAAGGGAAGCAAGGGCAAAAATGAACTATTGGGATTTCATCAAGATCAAAAGCTTTTGCACTGTGAAGGAAACAGTTAACAAAACCAAAAGACAACTGACAGAATGGGAGAAGATATTTGCAAATGACATATCAGATAAAGGGCTAGTATCCAAAATCTATAAAGAGTGTAGCAAACTCAACACCCAAAGAACAAATAATCCAATCAATAAATGGGCAGAGGACATGAACAGATATTTCTGCAAAGAAGACATCCAGATGGCCAGCAGACACATGAAAAAATGCTCCACATCACTCGGCATCAGGGAAATACAAATCAAAACCACAATGAGAGGGGCGCCTGGGTGGCTCAGTGGGTTAAAGCCTCTGCTTTCGGCTCAGGTCATGATCCCAGGGTCCTGGGATCGAGCCCCGCATCAGGCTCTCTGCTCAGCAGGGAGTCTGCTTCCTCCTCTCTCTCTCTCTCTCTGCCTGCCTCTCTGCCTACTTGTGATCTCTGCCTGTCAAATAAATAAAAAAAAAATCTTAAAAAAAAAAAACCACAATGAGATACCACCTCACACCAGTCAGAATGGCTAAAACGAACAAGTCAGGAAATGACAGATGCTGGCGAGGATGCAGAGAAAGGGGATCCCTCCTACACTGTGGTGGGAATGCAAGCTGGTGCAACCACTCTGGAAAACAGCATGGAGGTGCCTCAAAAAGTTGAATATAGAGCTACCCTATGACCCAGCAATTGCACTACTGGGTATTTACCTTAAAGATACAAACGTAGTGATCCGAAGGGGCGTGCACCTGAATGTTTATAGCAGCAGTGTCCACAATAGCCAAACTATGGAAGGAACCTAGATTTCCATCAATAGATGAATGGATAAATAAGATGTGGTATATATATACAATGGAATACTATGCAGCCATCAAAAGAAATGAAATCTTGCCATTTGCAACAATGTGGATGGAACTAGAGGGTATTATGCTTAGCGAAATAAGTCAATCAGAGAAAGACAACTATCATATGATCTCCCTGATATGAGGAAGTGGAGATGGGGGTTTGGGGGGTAGGAAAAGAATGAATGAAACAAGATGGGATTGGGAGGGAGACAAACCATAAGAGACTCTTAATCTCACAAAACAAACTGAGAGTTGCTGTGGATAGGGGGTTGGGAGAAGGTAGTGGGGTTATGGACATTGGGGAGAGTATGTGCTATGGTGAGTGCTGTGAAGTGTATAAACCTGGTGATTCACAGACCTGTACCCCTGGGGCTAAAAATACATTATATGTTTATTAAAAAAATAAAATAAATTTTAAAAAAGATTTAAAAAAAGAAATAAAAGGAAAATATGTAAGAAGGAAGAATAAAACTGTCTCTATTCACAGATGACATATGGTTATTATCCATATAAAATATCCCAAAGACTCTTTCAAAAAGCTACTAGAACTAATTAGTAAGCTTATCAATGTCTCAGTATCCAAGACAAAAAAACAAAAATCATGTTTCTTTGTACTAGTGATAAGCAACTGGGAATTTTAAAAAGTAGTATCTATAATAATATATAAAAAAGGAAATACTTAGGTCTAAATTTTATAAAATATATGCAATATTTGTATGTGTAAGCAATCAAAAACTAATGAAAGTAAAGAAGAGCTAAATAAATGGAGTGATCTATCATGTTCATGGGTTGAACATAATATTGTTAAAACATCAGTTTTCTCCAAAATGATTAATTTTTGCCTAAGATGACAAACTAATGCTTATTTTTTTTGATAATGCAAGTAAGGAGAATAGCCAAAACAATTTTTATAAAGAAGAACATAGTTTAAGGACTCATACTATCTGAATTCTAGATCTAGTATACTACTTTCAAAAGTCATAACAAGTGTGGTGTTGAAGAAAATATAGTCGTACAGATCAATGACACAGACTGGAGGCTTAGAAATAGTCCCACATGTCAAGTGATTTTCAGCAAAGGTACAAAGGCAATTCAAGAAAGAAAGAATATTGCTTTCAACAAACGGTGCCAAAACAATTATATATCCACAGGCAAAACATAAATGTTAGCCCATACTTTGTACCCTATACAAAAATTAACTCAAAATGGATCATAGACTTTGTTCCTAAAAAAATTAAAAATAGAATTACCATATGATCCAGTAATTCCACTACCAGGTATTTACCCAAAGAATACAAAACACTAATTCAAAAAGTATATGCACCCGTATGCTTATTGCAACATTATTTACAATAGCCAAATTATGGAAACAGTCCAAATGTCCGTCCATAGCTGAATGGGTAAAGATGTGATACACACACACATGCACAAAATATTACTCAGCCATAAAATAGAATGAAATTTTAGCATTTGCAACAACATGGATGGATCTAGAGAGTATAATGCTAAGCAAATAATTTAGTCAGAGAAAGACAGATACCATATGATTCCACTCACATGTGGAATTTAAGAAACAAAACAAATGAACAAATAGGGGTGCCTGGGTGGCTCAGTGGGTTAAGCCTCTGCCTTCAGCTCGGGTCATGATCTCAGGGTTCTGGGATCGAGCCCCAAATCAGGCTCTCTGCTCAGCAGGGAGCCTGCTTCCCCCCCCTCTCTCTGCCTGCCTCTCTGCCTACTTGTGATCTCTGTCTGTCAAATAAATAAATAAAATCTTAAAAACAAAAACAAAAAACCAAATGAACAAATAAAAAAAAAGACTCTTAGCTATAGAGAAGAAACTGATGGTTACCAGAGGGTAGGTGGGTGAGGGATGGGTGAAATAGGTGATGAGCACTGAGTAATGTACAGAATTGTTGAATCACTATATTGTACAGCTGAAACTAATATAAGATTGTATGTTAACTATACTGGAATTAAAAATTTCAAAATAATAAATAAATGAAAACTTGGGGTAAGTTGAAGAAAAATGGTTCGTAGACCTAGATATAAAAAATAAAAACATAAACGTCTGGAAGAAAACATAGGGGGAAAAAATCCTGCTGACTTGGAGTTATGCAAATATTTCTTACATTAAAGACCAAAAGTACCATCCATATCATCAAAATTAAGAAACATTTGTGGACCACCTGGTTCAGTGGGTAGAGCATGTGACTCTTGATCTAGGGTTTATGAGTTCAAACCCCACATTGGGGTATCTCCCAGAGGCTTCTCCCTCTGCCCTTTACCCTGCTTGTGCTCTCTCTTGTTCTTTCTCAAATTAATAAATAAAATATTTAAATAGTAGGAAAACAACACAATTTTTAAAAAATGTGTAAAAGCTTTTAACAGACACTTTGCCAAAGAAGAATATATTTGATGGCATTCAAGTACATAAAGATGCCCACACATTATTAGTCACTAGGGAAATGTAAATTAAAATCTCAATGAGATACTACACACCTCTTAGAATTGCCAAAATTAAAAAAAATTTCTTGACAATACCAAGTTCTTGCAAGAATCTAACCTAACCGTAACTCTCACACCTAGCTGGTATGAGTTCAAATTGTACAGCCATTTTGGAAGTCAGTTTGGCAGTTTCTCATAAAGTTAAATGCACACTACCACCAGGCCCAACTTCTAAGTACTGACTCAAGTGAAAGGAAAACTTACGTTCACAAATGAACTTCCCACGAGTGTTTATAGTGGCTTTATTCATAACAAAAAACTGGGGAAAACTCAAATATCATTTAACTCGGGAATGGATAAACAATATGCCACATCCATTCATTGAAAACTAACAAGCAATAAAAAAGAAACAATATACGTAACAGCATAGCTGAATCTCAGATGCATTTCGCTAAATGAAAAGAAGCCACAAATAAAAGGTTACATATTATATGATTGCATTTATGTAAGAGTCTTGCAAAGGAAAAACTCGCAGGGATAGAGAACAGACCAGGGCTTTCCAGAGGCTTGCCTTTAGAACCAGAGAGGCCTGGCTGGGCGGATAGCCACTCTGAACCTTGCTGGGCAATATCAACACCGTCAGAGGAATGTTAGGAATGAGTAAAGTAATAATATCTGTCATGTAGTATGAGAATCGTTCACTGCCTCTATTCCCCGCGCCCCATAATTCTATGATCCAGAAAAAAAGGCCTAATGAAATTCCAACGGTTAACTGGGCAGGGAGAGGGCTTGAACACTGGTCCAAGTATGAGCGGCGCTGCCTTCTGCGGTTCCCAGGATCTGGGAAAGTCTCCCCTTCATCTTCCCCGCAGTCGAGCAGTTTAGAACTGGGATCTCACTCCGCGGAGGAAGGCCGGTCCCCAGCCTCGCCCAGTCCGGGGCGGAACCCGCAGCGCAGGGGGTCTGCCCGGCGGCGCTCCCGAGCTGGGCGCAGCGGCCCCAGAGCGCGCACCGCGAGTGCGGGAGCCCGCGGCTGTGCCACGGGACGCCGGCCGAGCGCAGCCGCCCCGGGGGCCCGCGGGGAGGCGCGCGCGGAGCCGGCTCCCGCGGACCGGCTGGCGGGCCCGGCGCGCGCCGCGCTGGCTGTCTCGCTCCGGAGCCCGAGCGAGCGCGGCTGCTCCCGCATCCCCGAGGGGCAGCGGGCCACGCCGCCGGCCTTGCCCGATGGCGAGGCTGCGGGATTGCCTGCTCCGCCTGACGGTCACGATCCGGTCCCTGCTCTTCTGGTCCCTGGTCTACTGCTACTGCGGGCTCTGCGCCTCCGTCTACCTGCTCAAACTTTTGTGGAGCATCGGCAAGGGACCCGCGCAGACCTTCCGGAGGGTCGCCCGGGAACACCCTCCCGCGTGTTTGAACGACCCCTCTTTGGGTACCCACTGCTACGTGCGGATCAAGGTGAAGGCCGGCGCGGGCCCGGCGGTATCGGGAGGGAACGTGACGGCCGTGAGAGCAGAGCGCGCTGGGCTGCTCCTTCCATGACGCCCAGCGTCCCCTAGTGTTCCCGGGGCTCGCAAGAACGTGCGGCGGGGACAGGGAAGATGACAGGGGGAGGCAAGGCAAGGGGGGGGCGAGGTGTGGTGGGAGAGGGGTCGAGACCGTGTGTGTGTGTGTGTGTGTGTGTGTGTGTGTGTGTGTGTGTGTGTGAGAGAGAGAGAGAGAGAGACAGAGACAGAGACAGAGACACAGAGAGAGACTGAGAGCTGAGAATAGGTTATAAGGGGGTTCTCTCATCAGGTCCTATATATAATACAGTCCCCTCCTGCTCCACCACCACAACCCAGAATAATTCTGCTCTCTGTAAGGGAAGGCTGTCTCTCCTGTCACCTTTTTGCCCTTTAGAGCTCAGATCAGCTGTAGGGAATTGTTCCTGGTCGTGCCCTACTGTCTCATGAGGCTGTCCTTGCCCAAATATTAGAGATTGAAAGAGTAAATAGAATAAGGAAATAGGACGTTATTCAGAGTAGCAGAACGGAGCATTCACAGATGACCTGACCAGCATGAAACGATAAATAAATGGTGTATATTGGTGAGCAAGGAAGCTGACTTACAATGTCAGAAACCAAAAGAATGGAGTAAAAAGTAAATGTCAACCGTGCATTCAGACTGGGACTGTTCATGCTTGTCCCAAGCCTCCCGGCAGCCCACGGATATTCCATTTCCTGAGGCTCCAGGTGGTGAAGGGATATGGCCCTTCTGGATGCCCCCTGCAGTCTGACTCACAGGCCTGTCAAACTAGCCTCACAGGAGGGGTTATTTATGTCACCAAGTGCAGGAGTCCTATTAGGAGCTACACTGTCCAGCTGCGAGAGTTCAAAAGACGAAGGGCACATTTTTCTTACCCCTATCAGCCTGGGGTATGTATGAGAATGAAATGAATTGATATCTGTAAAACAAACAAACAAAAACCCAAATAAACAAAAACTTAGAACAGTGCCTAGTACATAGGAAGTGTAACAAAATATTTGTTCACTAAATCCAGTCAAGTGTACAAGACTCATCACCAATAAAAGAAATTACTAAACTTCTAGAAAGGCATTCTGTAGTTGAGGGCAAAGTCAGTTTTGTTATCTTGGTCCAACCTGGGGTGGGGAAGCAGTGAAAAAGAGTCCTCTGGAATTCCTCATACTGCTTTTCCTCCTAGTCTGGCTACCTAAAGAGTTTCCCCAGAGACAGAACCATGGAGTGGAAAGAACATTGTCCTCCAAGGTGGGACAGAATGGGGTTCTGGTCACAGCCCTGCTCCCAAGCACCTTTATGACCCATGTGAATATCTTTGGACTTTAGTTAACAAATCTGTAAAAATAATGGGGTTGAATTAACCTTTTAAGATTTTCTTACATCTGGAAACCCTCTTGCTTGGGTTACCTGATATAAAACTCAGTCTCTGTGCTCATCTCTTGGTTCTTGGTTTCTTTCTTCACTTTTTTCTGAATTTTTGTTTTCCTTTCTTGCTCCCCCCCCCATTTTCTTCTTTTCAGTTTGCTTTGTGTTTGCTGTATTCCTGTCTCACCCCCATGCCTTTTATTTTCCTTGGGCAGCCTTGTCTCCCACATGCAGAGAGAAGTCTTGGGCACTCAGAGAGTTCTGCTGTTAGAAATACATTGACGTGACATGAGGAGCAGGAAGCAAAGGGAGCTGTACATGCAACTCTCAACTTAAAATAATAATGTGGGAAGGAGAGAACTAAAAATAAGGAAAGGAGGTGTGAATTATATAACTGATGGCACAGCTCTTGACGGGCAAGCTGAGAAAAGTACATGACTAGGAGGTAAACATGGCAGGAATATAAATTCAGATCAGAATTATTTACATGTCCTGTGGAATTTGAATGAGATGAAATGTGACACATCAGTAAGATGAAAGTCACAAATTGTGACATTGTTCCAGAAGCTTGTAACATAGAAATTGACCTTGTAAATAGAACAAGAAGGGAAAGTACTATGAAGGAAATGTCAACAAAAGTAAATCTAATTTACTCTATTAATAAATCATGGAGGTTTTTTTCTTTTTGAAATTGAATGATATTTACTTTATTTCTTGATATTAAAAATAATGCAAACAAGCTTTTTCTCTAATGAAATGAAAATACTAAATGCACTACTTTTGGCAAAATATCACTGAAATCCCATGCCCTCTATTTTGTACTACAGGATTCGGGGTTAAGATTTCATTATGTTGCTGCTGGTGAAAGAGGCAAACCACTTATGCTGCTGCTTCATGGATTTCCAGAATTCTGGTAAACTTACCAAACAACTTTTTCTTTTGCATTAAGGCCTTGGCTAATCACAGTGCCATTTTCTTGTTATGACTTTTAATCGACCTTACTTTATGGTCTCTTACCCAGTTATCCTTCCTGAATGCTCCTGAATAACAGGGATGGTTTTCCTTCTAGTCTCATGAAATGTGCGTGGTACCAGCCTAATTTTGTTCCTTCCTTCCTCCCTGCCTCCCTCCCACCGTTCCTTTCTTTCTTCCTTCCTCCCTTCCTCTCTCTCTCTCTCTCTTTGGTGTAAAATTAAAAGAAGTATTGTTTAGTGTTTCAAATTTCTGAACTAGTTACTAAACAGTTTTCATAGTGTCTACTGTGGACCATATGCCACGTTGGGCAGGGAAAGGAGATTGAAAAGAAATCAAAGGTATAGAGTGCCTGTTATCTGGAAGGTCTACAAGAAGCCTCAGGTGAGGGGGAGATGGAGAAAGAAGAGGACTCTTAGAAACTGAAGATGAACTATTTCCTATGCATGTAACAACAAACTCATGAATGCAGGATAAATTAAGGACCTAAATATTTCTCATTAGGAAGAAACCTATAACCAAAAATATACAGTTGCTAGTTACCTAGAAGAAAATGTTCTGTTCTCCTTTGAACCTCCCAGAGCCAAATAAGTACAGATGATGGCAACATATGATTAAACTTTAAAAATATGAATATCTTTTTAAAAGATGCTACATATGGTGGTAAAAAGACAACCAGGCCTTTTGACAACAGGGCTATGATCTCAAGATAGTTCACAAACTAAATGCGAAGAAATGGATGAAAAATAACCATATCCTCCAAGCCAACTGAAAGGCAGAATATGCTATATCTTTTGAAAGGTCTGGATTGATGCCCTGTCACCAAATTTTTCCCTTATTAGCACTCTTAACACTTAGAATCTCACCATTACGTATTGTACACCTCCTTCACAGTTTAAAAGATTTTGTCTTATCCAAAGTCCTTATTTAAAATGCATCTAGCTCTCAGAGATCTGACCCTAATACACTTTAATTAATACATTATCCGTGAAAGAGACTTCATTAATAAATACATTGAGAACACTAGTGCATGAGGAAGTATTAGGCATTGAAGAAAAGAATGGAGTGTGGCAAAACTCCATTTACCTCATCATTTTTCCAGAGCAAAAGGCCTATAGATGTCTTTTTTCTGAGATTTTCCCCCTCATGAAGATTTTTCTCCCCTCTGTATTCACCTACATGAATAAACATAAGTCACTTTCATGTTAAACTTTTATCTGTGCTTCCATCTGGAGACAACTTAATTAGGTGGTAAACAGCCCAGTTCAATTCAAGCGTATGTATGTAGACTCGGTTAGTGGCGTGCTTGACATGATTGCCTCACAATAAAATTTAAGTCGGAAGCATTAGTCAAATCTGCATAAAGTAACATAGGCGGTAAATTCTGGCTTAATCACTTACTCTGCAGGATCCCGCACAATCATCTGCAATAATCTTACTGAGTTGTTGGGAAGATAAAGAGAGTCAAAATATGCAGAAGGCCTTTCACAGAGCCCCAGTGAATACTCAGCAAATGCTCATTTTCTTCCTTCCTTCCCGTTCACCCAGTGCGGAGAGCCACGCGCCAGGGCTAGCATCTGCCAGGCATTTATTAATAGGGCCCCTCTCCCTAAGAAACTATTAACTAAAGTGCGCTGAGATCATACTTGTTTGAGAGCTAGCTGCATTTTAAATCAGGACTTTAGATGATACAAAATCTTTAAAACTCTAAAGGAGGTGAAATATACGTAATAGTGGAATTCTAGTTTGAAGAGCGAGAGTAATGAAGACATTTGGAGATAGGCCATCGTCCCAGACCTGTGCAAAAATAATTTCCTGACTGCTGTTGCTGCTGCTGCTAGTTAACATTTACGGACTGTTTACTATGTGCCCGGCACTCTTCTAAGTGTTTTACTTACCTCTCATTTAAACCTCACAGCTAGCCTTCTGAAATCAGCAGGGTCAGAGCGTAAGGCATATCCTATCTTTGACCATCAGAGCTGACCTCTCCTGCTTGTCCTCAGGATGTAGGAATGATAATCATCGGACATCAGGCAGAGCTTTTCACCCTTCAAATTTCACGCCTTATAGAAACATTCAAGAGGGTGTTAAAAGTTAGCTAACCACGCAAGAACACCTCCCTCTAACATTTTGGATCACTGTTCTAAATAAAATTCGTGATCTGTTGGGGGGGGGCGGTTGATATTTAACTTTGTAGAAAGAAAAGACTCAAAAGCTCTTCTGTCTCTCCACCTCATACCAACCCCAGTACTCATCGATGCTCTTTTCTCTCCGGGAACTTCACTTTCTTTACACGTGACGTTGTTACCATGAAAATAAACATAAATAAATCTACAACTTCTTCAGCAACTTGGTAATTGTTGCGAAGAAACAGCAAGTAGCAATGATATCCTTTTGATAGAGGACAGCTGATGCTGTCTGTCATATTTCAGAATGATACTTTTGTACATTTTTCACAGCACTGTCCCATTACTTACTCTTCATAAGAGCCCCCTTGCAAAATAGAAATGCCTGGTGATTCTTGTACGTGTCTTCTAATCTTCAGTGGACAAGACAGCCTGGGAGAGGCCCAGCACTGGTCCCTGGACATCAGTCCAATTTGCTCTGGCAAAGTCAAGTCTTGGATGTATTACTCTGGGAACTCCCTTGCTATGACTTTAAGAACAAAACAAAAAACAGTGAATCCCCATAGCTCAGTTACTCAAACAGCATATTGAATTTACTAAGCTTTGCTGCCCCTTAATCTGAAAGCTACCTGGTTGTTTAGGGAAAGTCTAAAAGCAACTACGTGGGGATTGCTGATAATCAGAAACCTCTGCTAGACTATGTCATACCCTAAACCAAGACCTCTGTGTTGAACTTTGTCTTTTCTTCTGGTCAGATTGCCACTATTACCTATTAGGAGTCTAGTCGATTCCATTCAGATGCTCCATTCAGAAAAATGTTAAATAAATTTCAGAAAAAAACTGTTTTGATTAAACCACTTCAAGTCTCTCTCTTGGCCTTCCTCTCTATTTTCAAAAGCCCCTTTTCTTGCATTTCTATCTTCTTTAAAATCCAAAAACAACAAAGCAAGAAACACTGTCTGACATTTCAAACCAGTTTACATTTGCATAATAAGTATAAATATTATTCCTCTATTAATCAAGTTTTGCCTAAATACATATGAAACTGTAAGTGTATTTGTAGATCAAGTAGGTCAGAATATTTGACACAGTGAAAACAAAATAATCATAAATTGGCAATGTGTGTAAAAATGATTTTAAACAGAAAAGCACTGTACACATTCAAAATATTTTCTGCATTTATCATCATTACCTAAGAATAGCTGTTGAGAATTGATGACATTTAATATAAGATGTTACATGAAAACAATAAAAATTCTGGGTCTTCTTTCTTAAAATCTAAAGGAAACATCAAACAGGATCTGCATCTTGGAGACTGTTAGCTAAATTATCCCAAAATAAAGTTGTTTGTCAGGAGATGGTTTTTCTCCCACTCTCTCTCCACCTCAATTTGCATCGCTTTTAAAAATATTTGGAGCTGATGCAGGCAGTTTCTTTGAGTTGTCTTCATCACCAGCTGTACGGAGTGCATTCGTCATTACTCAAGTGCTGAGGCAAGGGAGGGAGGGCTCTTGGTACACACAGCTGAGCCCAGAGGCTGAAGACTATGGCCTTTTCTCTGTTGTGAAGGGGAAAAGGATATTCTACATCTGAATGTGGCTATCCTGGTAAACCAGAAGTCCTCTTATGTCAAGAGTAATCACTAGGAAGGGGGCTGCTTTTTTAGAAGTATTGTCTGCTAATACCTGAAGGTACCAGAAAAAAAAATGTGGATGAAAATAGCTAGCTGTGTTTCTTTGTAATATTTTTAGGAATTACTGATTTTTTTTTAAGTAGGCTCCTTGCCCAGTGTGGGGTTTGAACCCATGACTCTGAGATCAAGCGTCACATGCTCTGGCTCTGTGGACTGAGCCAGCCAGGTGCCCCTGAGTTACTGATTTTGTAATATGTTTCATTTCTGAGTCAAGGGGCTCAATTTTGTTTACTATCATATGAATGAAATGCGCATCTGTCTATCTCTGGGGTGATTTCTTTTCCAGCTTAAAGGGTGAATTAAATATGCTTTGTGAATTCTGGGAAGGTTACATTTAAGATTTTTTTTGTGATTTATTAAAATAGCAGCTGCCCTATTTCTTAGAAATGCTGAAGATATTGTTTGGCTCCTCTATGGATGACAGCAATAGTTGGATTTCTTTGTAAGTCAATTTAAATTATTAATAAGAGAATGAAATATGCATGTATTATGTTTGTATAATCTCTAATGCAATTTTAAATGTAAAATATTGCAGGATTCTACACATTCCTTTGAGTCAAATTTCACAGACGTTGACTATAAATTCCCCAACAGGAACTTGGGAACTTTAGTCATCCTTGCCTCATTTTTTGAACTGGGGCAGAGTTTTATTGAGTAGCTGGTCCTTCTAGCGGTGTTAAGACTCAGTCCTTCCATTTATTTGTTTCACTTATGCAACACATTTTTACTAAGCACCTACATAGTCTAAATAAATATTCTACCAGACAGTTGAAGGAGCTCCCAATTGAGTGGAAGCACCAGATGCAGCAGATCATTGTAAAGCTCATGCCCAGTCCCCTGAAGAGTGTATGTACAAGTGGGAGAGTAGGAAGGGTTCCACCCAACCCACCAAGAAAGGTGGGGGCCTGTGGGTTCTCCTGGAAGTGGAGATGCTCAGAGTGAGGAGTTCAGTGAAGGGGAAGGGCAGGGATTATGGGAAGCAGGGAAACGGCAAAGAATGTTGTTGCAGACAGAAGACATCATAGGAACAAAGTCAAAGGCAATATGGCCATTGGATCGATACAGGGGGCTTCCCACTGCAGGGGCTGTATACCTGGGACTCAGGACAGAATACCTGGGTGT